TTGTAGTTTATATTAATTATTGTAATTTCAAACAACTATTACAGCACTTTTCTGATTCTTGATTTCTGTGCATTTGCTGCAGATCTTTTGTGGTGGAGCAGGACCTGCAAGGCAAGGTGACGGCGGCGTTTGTGAAAAAAGGGAAAACCTGAAACAAAAATATAAATAAGATAATTTTGTTACTTCCAATACAGAAATCAGATGACATTATGCTGTTAAAATGACTGTGTTTGTGCATCTTTGCAGGATCTGAAATGTCCTCAGACTGGTGTGAGGATGGAGAAGTCCACAGCAGCATCCTGGAAATGGACCAGTGCCGTGGATGAGACGCTCCATCACTCCACCTCTTACTGCCTCATCTGGGAGTGGATTTACATGAACCATATATACATCTTAAAGACAATTACTAAATGTCTATTTAACATCTGACAGGATAGTCTGATTAGTATTGCAGATGAGCACATCTAATAGACATGAAACGGGCATCTGAGTGATGTATGTGTGCTGTTATGTAGAATTCACTGTTGTCAACACTGTTTTAGATGAATGTAAGTCATGTAAACAAACACATCTACATAAAGTAACTAAACAAATTATCTATTTTATTTGTCCATTTGTAATATTGATGAAGCTTCAAAAGCATCATCAAAAAATGTCATGAAGCTTTTATCCAAAGTGATTTACAGTGCTCTTATTACAGGGACCTACAATCCCCTGGAACAACCTGGATCGCTCAAGGACATACTGGTGGTTTTGAACCAGCAACCTTCTGCTCACCACTTCAGTGGTTTAGCCCACTACAAAAGTAATAAAGCTACAATGAAAAAATGCATGTAATTGTAAACATGAAATTTGGTAAGAAATGGAAAGCTGACAACATGAACTGTAAAATGTTTAACTCCGTTTAAATGTTTTACAGGTAGTCGTGCTCATGGAAAGCAGCACACAAATGTTTGGAGCAGACACAGTGGCAGCCAGATTGTCCCACATGTGTTCCCCTGCTCTTGCTTCTAGGTTGTGTGGTTCAGAGAGCCGTCATCATGGTCTTCCTCATCCTCTTGCTCAACGATGTC